AGCGCCCTCCGAGCCCCGGCGTGGCCTGGTGCTTTGCAGCCCTCCCTCCGCGCCTGCTGGGTGCCAGCAACTCCTCTTCCTGTCTCGGGACCCCATATTCTTACCCTCGGGTTTCTCCCACGCCCCCAAGTCCTGTCGTCCCTTCCCTCCCAGATGACTTGCTTCTGGAAGTCTTCCACTTTCCACTGACTTTATTTTTCCTGTTTCTGAATTACTGCTCCGTGATGCCAGCTTGCTTTGCCGAAGCTGAACCAGAGACGGGACATCTCCTCCTGGCTGGTAAGTACCCCCACTGCGTTTCCCCTTCTCCCCGCCCAAGTCCCCCAGGCCCAGAGACCCCAGAGGTCGCGACCAGAGGAGGGAACCACAATGGGTCAACCCTGCTTCCTAGACTCCAGCCTGAGAATGCCTTGTCTGTAGCCACCTCCTCATGGTGCAGGGAAGGTACACTGACCAGAGAGCCCAGGGCAGGGAGTAGGCTTCCGAGCTGGGAACAGCGGTGCCTGATAAACAGCTGCAGGTGCACTTGGACCTGCTTAGTCTGGCAGGATCCTGGAACTCCCCGCTCCAGCACCCTGGTGAGAGCAGTGGGCTGACCCTGAGCTCCTCATCTTCTCTGCCACAGGCCCGATGGTTCCCCAAAGCCCCTGCCAAGCCTGTGGTGGCCCTGAAAACACCCATCAAGGTGGAGCTGGTGGCTGGGAAAACCTACAGGTGGTGTGTGTGTGGCCGCAGCAAGAAGCAGGTGAGAGGCCCCTACCCACCCCTTCTCATTGACATATGACACCACTAGTTGGGGACACCACGTGTCTCATGGGAACTCCCACCCCAAGACCTTTCTCTTTTACCCACACATACCTGAGGGACAAGGAAGGTTGGAGAGGGAAAAATACTCTCAGGCCAGCACCACCCGCAGCCCTGAGCTCCTTGTTCTCTGCGTCCATTCTTCAAGATGCAGCCAGAGAGATAGAAACTCAGGCAGGTGGAGCCAGGGTCCTACCTCTTCTGGTGCTCCGTCCTTCTCAAAGGCATGCTCCTGGCTTCAAGCCCAGAGAGGCTTGCCTGTCTCTCCCTCTTCCCTCTCCTCCATCTAGGAACCACCTGGGCCAAAGGTTCCCAGGTTTCGGACCCAAACATACAGAAGACTCTGCTCAGCCTCTCAGCCTTCTGTGTGCTCCTTTCCGGTGTCTGCTCCCCAAATGCCTCCGTTTCTCAGTTTCCACGACTTTCCTAGTTTCTTGCTGTCTTGTCAGCCTGGCTGCCTGCTCCCAACTCCTTCTCTCTTCTGCCCCAGGAGCCTTTCATCCAGCAGGAACCTGCCCCGTGTTCTTAGCCTTTGGGGCCTTTCCTTCCTGAGTTGAGCTCTGAACTGCGTTCCTCCAAGGGCATGGCATCAGCAGCCCAAGGCCCTGAGTCCCACGTGGCCGCTGACTTGCCATGGACTTTGAGCGGGTCCTCATGAGGGCGGTGCAGTGCTGAGGGATTGTCTGCCAGTGAGGCCTAGACAGGCGGGCCCTCTGTGCCTCTTGCCCTCTGGGACAGGTTGCTGATATTTATTTGCACACTTTTCTCATTTCTCTCTCCTTCTACCCAATCCTGACCCCCAAGATCAAGAGGCCTTGGTTCCAGCTCTGTCACTAACTGGCAAACCAGCTCTCTGGGCTCAGTTTTCACTACCCAGGCTCTGCGTGGACACCTTCGGGGATGGAAGGGGGTATATGCTTGCACCAGGCATCCAGTTCTCTGTGGCTTTCCCTACCTCCCTGTAACATGCCCAATTTCCTGCAGACAAACAAAATTGATACCCCAATTTTTTTTTAATTTAAGTATAGTTGGCTTACAAGGTGTTAGTTGCTGGTGTACAGCATAGGGATTCAGTTACACATATATATATTCCTTTTCATATTCTTTTTCATTATAGGCTATTACAAGGTATTGAATACAGTTCCCTGTGCTATACAGTAGGACCTTGTTTATTCTTTTAATTTATTTTATTTACTTATTTTATTTTTTATTGAAGTGATTTACAATGTTAGTTTCAGATGTACAGCAAGGCAATTCAGATATACATACTATCTATCTGTCTGTCTATCTATCTATCTATCTATCTATCTATCTATCTATCTATCTATATATATATATATATATTTTATATATAGTAGTTTGTTATCTGCAAATACCCAAACTTACCCTACTTTTATTTCCTTCCCTACCTTCCCCTTTTCCTTCCC